AAGAGACGCTAAAAAAATGATTTGAGTAGAATGCAAAAGGGGTGACGCATCACTTAAAGCAGAGGCAGAGAAACTTACCCAATTTCGAACATCCTGAGATAACGAGATACAGTCATCAAGGACAAGACCCTCAAAATACTCCATTGTAAGTACCTTCTGAGTGGAAAAGTCGTGAAAGACTTTGGGCACCAAGAATACGGGGTCGTTGATAAGAAGACGAGCAAATTTCTCAGCATAGGAGGCCTCACGCATATAATCGCACTCCCACTTAAGTTCTCTCTTGGCGGTACGGATCGCTGATTCAGCAAACAAACCGCGAGGCAAGAAATTGAAGCGTTTAAGAATCATTGTTATGTTAGCTACGTCAGTCTCGATGCTTTTTCCCACCCCAGGATACTGAACCTTCATGGCCAACCGCCTAGAAGGAGTAACAATGAATTCAATGCTCTTAAACAGAAGTAGATGTGTGGACAAACTTACAAATGGAAGGCTCCATACAGTGCGTCAAAAACACAGAAAATTACAACAATGTGGAGCCAAACGTGAAGAGGACAACTGAGCACATAAAACTACCTTCCATCTGGGAGGAGAGCGAGATGAACTTGACCAATGCTGGCTGCAGCGAAAGGTTTTGCATCAAATGAAGCCAATTTCTCCCTCCAATTAGTTCCCAGTTCGGCATCTACCACTTGATACATCTGCGACGTTGGCATGAAATCCGCCGACTGTCGAACACGTTCAAAAATTTTTTGCACTTTCGGACTTACAAGTGAGCTATCTGAAAGACACGGGTAGGAGGACATAAGTGTTCCCAAATACCTTGAATGCTAAGCATTTGACCCAATTTGAGAGCTGCTCCGCGCATACGACACAGCGTATCAACGATTCGCTCCAAATTAGCATCATTTAAGAAGATATTGGATTCTTCATTTTTGTCAGAAGCGCCAATGGAACGTTTAGCATATTCGGTTGCCGCTCCAAGCCCTAATCCAACAAATAGATCTAAATTTGGGTTACGATGCGTCAAACATAGACTGTACTTCCAAAACCGACAGCTCTACCAATTCGAGTTGAGGGAACATGTCGTTCTCTAGAGGACGATAGCGTCTTCTTTGCCGGAGGAGATTCAGAAGATGCTTTAATAGATGTAGAGAAACTCCGAATTTTGATTAAGGAATCAAGGGAATTGGTACAGCTGGAGCCTTTGCGAGGATAACTGCGTCTTTTGATGTCGCAAGCAGTGACAGGGCGAAGCTGTCCAACACCCCGAATGCAATCACGTGCACCAACGAGTTCCAAAAATATCCGTACTTCGTCTGCCTGGATAGATACTGCCGTACTCAAGACGCTGCATACTCCGCGTAGAACTTTGACACAATCGCTTGCCAAATAACTGTAAACCATTAACAAGAAACAAGTGCCAGGCGGGAAAGCCGAATACTACGGAAATTGAATTGTGAGCACTGCAACAGACCGAAAAAACAAAATATATGGAACAAATTTAGCTTTAACAAACATTATACTCTTATCATTAGAGGTATCAAATAGTTAAAAAATACAATCATGGTTTCGCTCCACAAGGCTGCTGTCATGTACCTAGTAGAATTGCCACTTAAATATAAGAGGCAATGGTGATATTAGTTATTTAACTTAAGCCATTACAAATCACTTCTGTACGCACACATTTTGGTGCGACCTAGGAAGAGTTTATATTCTTCAACAGATCAACTTTCGTGCGCTTTGCATGTAACTGCATTTTTGGATTGGCTTTAGTGCATCTCAGGTGAATGTGTGGGTTAAATTTGCTTGTAGCCACTTTTCACTCTAACTTACACGAACTACCTCCTCTTATTGTCCATCTTTTCGATTAAACTTGCATTAGATTTGAAATGTTGCGATTTGTTACATTGCTCACTCACGCACATTGTAAATTTGCACATTTGTAACCTTGAAATTTGATTAAGAAGCCTCTGCTACGTCTCGACCTGTGACTGCGTCTTCACTTTTGTGAGTAAAAATTGTCGCTCCCTTTTGTTTGTGTCTCTTCTAGCTATTAATTCCTCCTTTGCAATCATTTTGATGGCCTCTAGTTAAGGCAGATAAATAGATTGCATGAATGTTCGAAGAAGGTCGATGTTAGGGATTTGGGATTTTAAATTTTCTTCTGTGAATTGAATGCTGAATGCTTAATGGGATGCGTGAGCGTGGTTTAAATTTTTCCATTTCTATGGTCTCAATAATATGTTGTTTCGCTATGTAGGTAAGGTTCTTCATTTGGGATTATGAGGTCCTGGTAACTGAGGCTTCGAAACTGGTTGGCATATCTGCAAACTTTAAGGTCTAGCGGGAGGCCGTGAGCAAAAATACTTCGGTTTACCCATTGAGACCGGTCAATTGTACAACGTACGATGAAGCAATCGAAGAAGGTCAGTAACCGTTGTCGTGGTTTGACTGAGTTACAGCAGGAAGGTTTCAACTCGCATAGGGAACTTCGTTTTTTTGATCAATTGGAATAGGGCAATAAGCTACCCATTAAAACCGAGGTTTTAAATGATTGTTCTCTACATAAGGAACAAGGAAATTTTGTTATATGGTCTCGCCA